AGCATCCTTTCTCTTTCTATGCAATAAAATATTTTTTATTTATTTAATTTTTTTTGAAAATGTCGACTTTTGTCGGTGAGGTACCAGAACGAGTGGACCGATGTTGCCCATCTCCTAACTCGATCTAAGTTTGATAATAATATTACGATGTACTAAGTTTGGATCAAATCGAATACTTCGAGAGTTGTCGTGCGGACCAGCCAGCCAGAGAGACGGACGGACATCGCTATACCGACTCCAAATGTCCTAAAACCGTTCATTCGATGAGGAACGTTTTGGCCGTATCAAATCATAGCATTATGGCTGAGGGTATAAAAACACGAGAGATTTTTTGATGGGAAATTTTCATTCATCAAGCGAGTCAACCAACAAATGGGTCATTCTTGTCCTATTTCGAAAACATAGTTAAAAACTTCCGTTGTTGCAAAATGGTCAGGTTAAATCCCTTTATTCTTGTTAAAAAAAACAACGTTTGTTTATTAGTGGAGAACGATGGCAATGTTTTCCAGGGGAATACCTAGGTTTCGGAAAGAGCCACCAACATAGGTATACCCTGACTTACCCCCTGGTAAACATTGCCATCGTTCACCACTAATAAACAAACGTTGTTTTTTTACAACAATAAAGGGATTAAACCTGACCATTTTGCAACAACAAAATACCGAACAAACAAGCCAACACTGTTCTGTTAAAAACTTCCCTCAACCGTGATTGTAACAAGTCAAAATATCCTACAAAATTATCTGTCATAAATTTTACTATAGGTCCCAGAAGACGCCAAGAGTCTAAATCTAAGCCAGGAAATCATATAAAAGCCACATTTTAAGGCTGGTGTTTTAGTGAGTTTGTACAAAAATCTCCAACAAATTAGCATCTTCGAAATATGATGTCAAAGACAAAAATGTTTTATATCAAATTTCATTATTAAAAAAAAATTAAAAAAAAATTAAATTTTACTATCAAAAAAATATTTGCATCAATATTTCCTTTTCCACAGGTGGTAAACAATAATTAATAATTATAACTGTTATAAAATGCGAAATTATTTACCACATCTCTTGAAAATGCAATATTTCTTGTAACATTACATCTAGTGCAAAGACGTTCCTAAAAAAGAGCCACAAATTCTAAAGGTAGATATACATAAATCGGAATACCTACTAAAACCTATTTGTTTAAATGCAAAAACCACTTCTGCATTCTTAAAATCCAATACCAAAATGAATTAAACAACCTCCTCTGCTTCACAATATTAATTTTGGAACATGTGACTCTAATTAGATATTTAATTATTTTATGCACTGGCATGGACATCGAAGCCAATTAAATACATTCCAAATGTTCCAAATATTCCAATTGCAATACAGAAACGCATTGTGACATTGTGCGGTGATGGTGTTTGTGTATTCGGCAAAACATAACACTTTTGGCTGTCATGTGTTGTTGTTGTTGTTTATTTGCCAAAGCAAAATGGCAATGACAGGACAAAACCATGGCCAAAATACAAACAGACAGAGAGAGAGAGAGAGAGAGAGAGAGAGAGAGAGGCATAAAAGGCTACACCAGCTCTACCCACAAAGATATTCATTTATGGAAAGCAAATAAAAGTGTTTCACAAACACACACTCGTATAGGCACTCACACACACACACCAATGCTCCCCAAATACCAATTGTTTATCGTTAGTTGGAGTAGATCCAATTGCACACTCGAGTACAGCACCACCATCACCTCGACCAATACCAGAAGCATGAGTTCCATGTGGTCCAATGGCACAGCACAGGAGGACATTGTTTAGGATTTTGCCATGTCTAAATTGCGAATTTGCATTATTATTGTTATTATTGTCGACCGACGATGTTATGCTGAATAATGAACCCGGGCATGTTGGACCGTTTAAATGGACCCAAAAATGTCTCATGGGAGGCGTGGAGAGGAGCTGTGGAAACAAGTTAATACATAATGGCTAACATAACTAACACCAGCAATGACAGCACAGGTATATATATATAGCACATACCTCCATCGCTTATTCATGGACAGGTATTCATGGTTTTACCTTTACACTTTCATATGAATTATTCTGTCTAAAATACACCAAATATTTTGTGAGCAATTTGAATGGGAGAATTATTTGGTAACCTAAAAATGGTTGTGGAGAGGGATGGTGTAAATTTGAACAAATTATGTTGTGAACGCCAGCACGATAGACAGACGGTCGTCGGTAGATCATTTCCAAATATCCTGAAACGGTTTTGTCCAAAGAGATCTGGTGTTTAACACAGCTATTTCGAAGAAGCATATTTTGGACATATATAACCACAAACCAGTAAAGAAAGTCCTAAAGTAGGGCGGGGCCGATTTTATGATACCCTACACCACTTTGCTAATTTAGTTGAGCTCCACATAACAATTAAAAGTTTTTATGAGAGAATTCAATCATACTATGATTATAATTATAATTTTAAATTCAAAGGACTAAATATGCGGAAGCATTTGTATCTTTTAAATTCAGACGTGTATTGCCAATTTGGTGCAAAATTAATTTGAAATCAGATAAAGATATATATGGGAGCTATATCCAAATCTGAACCGATCTCGGTAAAATTTGGCAAAGATATTTCTGAGCTGTATTTGACATATTTCCCTGAATATCGGTGTTACGGAGTGCATATTACGGCTGTGGGTAACAAATATAACAAATCGGATGAACAGTATATATGGGAGCTATAGCTATATCTGAACCAATCTTCACCAAATTTGGCATACTAGCTCCAGACTCAATTCGGTCGCATTTTCCAAATGCCATCCCATTTGTGCAAATATAAGACGTTTGGTGCACAATAAAAAGTAAATCGGACGAAGTTATATATGGGAGCTATATCCAAATCTGAACCGATCTCGATAAAATTTAGCAAAGGCATTTCTGAGCTGTATTTGATATATTTACCCAAATATTGTTATTACAGAGTGCATATTACGGCTGCGGAGGACAAAATTAACAAATCGGATGTACAATATATATGGGAGCTATAGCTATATCTGAACCGATTTCGATCAAATTTGGCATACTTCTTTTCAGGTCCAATCTGATCGTACGTGCAAAATTTCATACTATTCGGACTGATATTACACGTTTGGTGCACAATAAAAGGCAAACCGGACGAAGATATATATGAGAGCTATATCTAAATTTTGACCCACTATCTCCAATTTCAATAGGGTTCGTCCTTGGGCCAAACAAATGATTTGTGCAAAATTTCATTTCAATCGGATAATAAATGCGACATGCATTTTGTTCACAAAAATACATGGACGGACGGACGGACGGACTGACGTGCATAAATCAACTCAGAAAGTGATTCTATGTAGATCATCAAAGGGAACTATGGGTTTATCTCGTTTCCTTTTGCCTGTTACAAATAAATTCACAAAGACATAATACCCTGACCACCTTGTGGTGTAGGGTATAAATATTTAGAAGCTAAATGATATAATAAAGCTATTCCTTTCATCATTACCAAGGGATTAGTAAATACAGCGCAGTGGGTGCCTATCCGACTTCAAAACCAAAAATTGTGAGCTCCAGACTCGGGCAAGAGGAGAGAGCTTGAGGTGATCGACACTTTGTTATTTTTTAGTGCCAACCTTGCTTTTCAAAATACTCCAGACACAATAGTCTAGCGAATTGATATCCGGAGATTTTGGTGACCATTGTGCGCTGGAAATGAAGTGAGGAACCTCATTTTGTAACCATTCTTGGGTGGCGCGTGCTGAGTGCGATGTTGGATTGTCCCAGGTCTGCAGCCAAAATGTTTGTGTGCCCAAGGCGTAAAAACACCCTCCAGAATATTTTCGCGATAATATTCGGCATTTATTCTGATACCACGGTCGATTAATACGAGCGGTAAGCGACCATCGGCTGTTATGGCGGCCCACACCATCACCATGGCCGGCTCTTGAATTCTGGTGGCCAACCGAAGGTAAATATTTTCAGCTGGCCTCTTTGGCAAGTAAACACGATCATTTTGCTGGACAACGAATGTTTTCTCATCGGAGAAAACCAAATTCGGCAGTTCACCACTTTCGGCCAAACGAAGCAAGTCTTTAGCTCTTTTGAGTCCATTTTCTTTCTGTTGCTGTATAAATTCTTGCACTTTTTGAAATTTCAATGGCTTTACGCCTCATTTTTCAATATTTGCAGAATGGAATATTGCGATATGTTCAGCTCACCAGCCATTTTTCGGCCACTGCGACGTGGCTTTCGATCAAATCGCTTCTTTACTTTCCGAACCATTTTTGCTGATGTTGCCGTTTTCTTCCGTCCACTTCCTTGAGGTCGGGCTACGCTACCAGTATCACGGTAACGAGCGAAGGTACGAGACACAAAAGATTTATTCACATTTAAATGCTGGAGTGCTCTAACGATATCCACTTGTGGTTTTCAAGCCAAATATAAAGAAATCACGCTATCACGCTTGTATTCCATCACGAATAACTTTTGTTCTGGAAAATTCTCACCAAAATGCTTTTGAACGCTCGTAAACAATATAATGACCTGTCACTGGAATAACTTTAACAACTGTCGGTCGAGTGGCTTAGAAATGACAGCAGTCTGACGTTGGTTGCAGTTTTTTCATCTCACCCTGCAGTTGGTGTGATATACATGACATAAATTTCCAATATAAACTTTTTTGTAACGGCAGCTCTACTAAATACGCATAGATGTGGGCATCATCGGCCCGCCCGACTTTTGACCTTTCCTTACTTATTTTAAGAGTTATTATTGTCTGTGCAACGTGTCAAGGATATATCTTAAACATGGTGACTTCAATCATGGCTATGAAAAACGACTTTAGTTTTTTTCCGATCCTTCCTGTTATCTTTTATAAATGTTGGATCTTTCTATCCAAAAATTTTTTTTCATTTATTTAACAATATCCACTTTTTATCAAACCTTCCTAGCTGAAATAAAAATTATCTTCCCTTTTACTTTTCAGCAATTATCCGACAAAAGGTAAGTTCAATGGAAAACCCCAAATTTAATTTTGCTCCCAACTTTTGTCTTAAATTAATGAACAACTCTTGGAAAAAAGGGAAATGGAAAAATTCTCTGTATGCCATAAATTTTCTATAATTTACAGCAAATGAAGCCGAGTTCAGTTCAGCAGTCTGACGGTGCCAATTTTTGTGCGCTCAGAGTTTATTTCTCATGCCGCTTCATCTGCTGCTGTTTCTGGCTGGCATTGAAGCCTTTTGTTTCGCTCAGTTTACATTTATGACTAAGTGCTAAATAGTGTCACTGTGTTTGTGTTTTGTTAATTAATTTGCGAACTTTACCAGCTATTTTTCCCCATACATAATTATCGGGACTGAGAAAATTATTTGTTGTTTTATTTTTTTGGCAAAACCAACAACACCGACACAACCAAACCAAGCGAAATGGTATTTATAGCATAAACCTTGTGTTCTCCTTTTGTTGTTGTTCTACTGGCATTCTGCCAAGCGCTGAGTTCACTGGAATATCGGAAATGAAGCTTACGGCGTCTGCCTTTTTGCGAACTTTGTTAGTTAGTATTTTTCCCCAACTTTTGCTGTTTTTATTTGTGGTTTAATTTGTTGTGGTTAGTTTTCGGGGAGGTTGTCGGGCGGAGGTATAGCAAGGCAGGCCAGAGAAGCTGTAGCTGAAGAGACTATTTCTGCCAATTTAAAAACGGCTTTTATGGCTGTCACTTTGTTTTTGCAAGCAAATCCTTATTACTGCTGCCATTGCCGGGGCTGTGCAATGGTGTGTACCAACAGTAATAACACCAACAAAAAGAGCATCAGCAACACTAAACTTTGAGTTATTAAAATGTTACTGTTTGAGTTGTTCTTTTGTTGTTGCCAACAAAAGTAAATAATTATAATAATGGAATTAATGAAACATTAGAAATGTGCTTCTTCTCTCTCACTCTGTGTCTCTCTCTCTCTCTCTCTCTCTCTCTTTCTCACCATTTCCCATCCCATAGCAATGAAAACGCTTTGAATTTCGTGTAGCAGAGAAAATGTTGCCAACTGTCAGCTTTATGCGATAACGAAATTAATGGGTCAAATGTTTTTGTTGTGGAGATTTGTTTGTAGGACACATTTAAAGAGTATAATTAAATTTGTTCGTCATTCCATTCATATTTTAAATGAAAAATTAAACGATTTTATAGCTATGTCTGAATCAATTTTTACTAAATTTTATGTACTTGCTTCTAGGCGGAATTCGGTCGGATGTGCCAAAATTCAGGTAATTTGGACCCGAAATCAGTTGAATATATATATATGGGAGCTATATCTAAATATTTATATGAACCATATCCAAAACTGAACCGATCTCGACAAAGCTTATACCGAAAATTATTGTAAGGGAATTCATATTACGGATTCGGGGGACTTAGATATACCATTAATTTCATAATTTTCAACCAAATAAAACACTAGCTTCTAAGACAAATTTGGTCGGAACACAAATGGTGGGTTATGACATCAAGGCGACCAGGCGTATAAAGCAAACCCATCTACATTCACAAAGTTAGTTGGAGCCTATTTGTTGGAACCAGTTGGTTTGTTCAGTATCGTCACATGCCCAACCCCCGTCATGAAGAAGTTGGAGTGTACATTGAGTAATTCCGGTCCGGTCATGTAGCCAAAATCATCAAAATACTGAATACTACAGCTTATGACAGAAAACTATTCGAGTAGATCCACGTCTTCGTATAGCACCCATATAACGGTACCTATATAGGGGCTATACGAAGATGTGAGCCTGTACATATAATTTTCTGTCATAGACTGTAGTATCAATTACGAACTTCAAATACGAAATTTGAAAAAATTTCGGTGAATAATGTCACTAAATTCATGAAAATACCGAATATCGGGAAGTACTGATATATGGGGGCTATACCAAAAGGTGGACCTACATGTCATTTTTTCTTTTTTTAATTAAATTTTATCAAACTTCTTAATTTCGTTCGGAAGCTAGAGTGATTTCCCTAGACGGACGGACGGATAGACGGACGGACATCCCTAAATCGACATAAAATTTTATGCTGATGAAGAATGTATATATATCAGTGGGGTCTAAAATGTATGTTTCGAGGTGTTACAAACGGAATGACAAACTTAATATACCCTCCATACTATGATGGAGGGTATAAAAAAGGAATAAAATAAGGCTTTGCTGCACCTATCCTACACTCCATCAGTGACTCTTATTCCAAAGAATTATATCTCATTCCGTTTGTCCAATACAAAGCATTAAATTTTTGAAACTTTTCGTACCCTGTTAGTATGAATTTCGAAAAACCCAGCTTTATAGCACGCCCACACACCAAAACGGACCCTTGTACGAAATTTCATGATTCTAGCTTCAGCCGTTGCGTCTGGCCATTGATTCTCAATCACCATTACTGCTCCAAAATAAATTTTTTAATAGGGAGATTGCATGTCTAGTAGTAATGTTGTATGACATTCTCGAACCTTTTTTATTTTAATGTCATTGTTTTTTTTTTTTTTGTCCTATACGACTTGTCGCAGAATTTGCAAAGCCGCAATAATTTCCATTTGAAACTAAAGTCTTAAATATTTATGGGAGTTTTTTTGTTGTGGGTTTATCTGTGAACCCCAGTAATGGTTGAATGCATGTGTGAGAGCATTCGTCCTGCATTGCATTTCAAAAACAGGTCTCTAATGCCTGTGTGAAAGAACGTGTGTCTGGGTGTGTGTGTAGCTGCAATTGTTGGTAAATTTTAATCCTTATCTGTATCTGTGTCTGCATGAGTTTGTTTTTGTTTTTTCTATTTTGCTCCGTGTTATGCATCTGCCTATGTGAGTGTGTATATTGGCTTTAAAATGCGATTGTGTTTGGTTGTTTACTTGTCCTGATATAGCGACTGTGTTTTTCCATTGCTTTACCAGTTGTTGTTGTTGTTGTTGTTTGTGTTCTCCACACTTTATCCTTTTCAAAAATTAGCTTTAAATTGAGATTATTTTTGTGGCTTTCACAAGTGATAAATATTCACCACTTTTTGTGAATCAGGGTGATAAAGGGGTCTGCCTCCTCCTCCTGGTTGGCTGTGTCCCCTAATCCCACAATCTCATTATTGTCTGTATTACCAGTGATTGCAACACCAACCAACAACAACACAAGTTTTGCACTTAACTGCTCTCTGCACCATCACCGGCATCACCATGAAATCACTTTTGCCCGGTTAACCACAGAAAAGTAATTGCATTAATGAAATTCTCATTTAAGCGATTTGTAGTTGTTCTGTTCTTGTCTGTCTGTCTGTCTGTTTGTGCTCGATTCTGTTTGTTTGTCGTCTACTCCGATTCACCGCTGTTTGAATTGTAAAATTAGTTGTCCCATTAGAATTGTTTAAAAATTAATGCAATTTGAGGAATGAGGAAAGACAATATTTAGATTGGTTGAGAAGTTAAAGGGAAGGGAAGATATTTTCGCCGACATTTTGTCATGTCAAAAAAGGGTGTTGAATAACTTAACAATTTAATTAATTAAATTTTTAAGGAGTGGTAATAATTTGTAGGTAGATAATGAAAATTAGATTTTTAGACCTCCAGAGGAGGGGTATGCATTAAATTTGCCATTATTTTAGCAAAATCTCGAAATCTTCGCCTGAGGCCCTATTCATTTTATATACACATTTTCTTCATTAAATATAAAATCGGTTAAGTCGCATTCATCAGTTTGTCCCTCAATCTGCCTTCTGAAGACAAGATAGATGCCAAATAATGAAAATTTGTAATTCGACACAAAAGTTCTGTTGTAGTCGGAGTCATGCTAAAGTTTTCAATGGAAAAATCGGATGGAAGTTACATATTGGAGCTTATTATTATCTGAATAGATTCATACTATACAGGGTGAGATAAAAAAAACTGCAACAAAGTCAAACGCCATAATTTTTATACCCTCCACTATAGAATGGAAGGTATATTAAGTTTGTCATTCCGTTTGTAACACCTCGAAATATACATTTTAGACCCCACAAAGTGTACATATTCTTGATCAGCAAAAAATTCTTTGTCGATTTAGCGATGTCCGTCCGTCTGTCCATCTATCCCTCTGTCGGTCTGTCCGTCTGTGGAAATCACTCTAGCTTTCGAACAAAATAAAGTAGGTTGATAACATTTTAGTCAAATGTATATTATGTCTGCAGGACTTTTGGCCACTGCGTCGCGGGTTTCGATCAAGTCGCTTCTTTTCTTTTCGAACCTTTTATGCTGATGTTGCTGTTTTCTTCCGTTCACTTCCTTGACGTCGGGCTGCGTTACCAGTATCACGAGACACAAAAGATTTATTCACATTTAAATGCTGGAGCATTCCGATAGCCACTTGTTGTTTTCCAGCCAAATATAAAGAATTCACACTATCACTAATATCGAACTAAGTTTGAAAACAATATTGCGATGTACCATGTTTAGATCACATCGAATGCTCCATTCGAGAGTTGTCGTGTGCACCAGACAGTCTAGATCGACTCCAAATGTCCTGAAACGGATTTGGTCCACAGAGAAATAGGGTCTATGACCGCTATTTTCATTAGGCACGTTTGGATCGTATAAAGATAAAAGCCATCCATGCAGGTCTACTATTTGTTATTGGATCCCAGTTTATCGGTCATGTCGGACCACGTTTTTGTATACTCCCATATAACTGGATCTCCCGACATTTAGTATTTTCTAGCAGAATTTTTTTAAAGTTGGGTACTTAGAGTTTGTAACGCCTCTATATAAGTTAACGTTTTACAATAGCCCTCCCCCTGGTTCGATATTTGCATTTATATCACATTTTCTAACAAAATTGTTTTAAATTAGGTTCTTAAGGTTCGTAATGGGTTCTACCACCTGCGCCAGATCATTGCCTACTTAGGTTTAGATTTTGCTGTAGCCCATTCCATTCCAATACTTAGTACATCGTAATATTATTATCAAACTTAGATCGAGTTTGGAGATGAGGAATATCGG